CTCTTCAAGCCATTGATGTCCTTGCATATGCTCACATATACAGGTTCTGCTGGTTGGTTGCTCCAAGACATGTTTGGATGGAAGCTTCAAACAACTTTGTTCCTGCTCTTTATCCCTGATGGGGATTCGAATGGTGCTATACCATGAACGCTGCACTAACCAAATCTAATCCAAGAATCTTAAATTCTCATCGGCGGCTTAACTTAGCATGAGTTTCAAGGATTCTACCTAACTAATCGGACTTGACATCACCATACTGCGCATAGACCTCTGTCTTTTAGCTACCTCACAAGCTACCCTGCGCATACATTAGAATCATCCTTTCGAACACAAACCTATCGGCATGCGATTGCATCGATGTCATTGGTGCGACGATACGCTTCAGCTGCAGCTTCATTCACCAAATCATCACCTTCCATCGATGTCATGGACACACACTCAACTCCCATCCTTTTCCACCGACATCTTAACATCTAGATAACTTTCATCAACATCACGGAAAGCTTACGACGGACGAGTGACATAGATTAGAGACTCATAGAGTTTTACTGTAGTCCACACACAATTCTACCTCATCTTTCTTATTATGGTTGCTATCCAAAATGCAATGTGCTAATCTTTCATTCGTTCAAGAGTGCACGCTGAATGCCTTCTCTGAGGAATCAACTGGTGGCTCTCCAAGATCGAATGACATCTCGATATCTGCTGGACGGGCCACTGAATCAACAGGTGCAAAACTTAAAGGCTCTTTGTTGAGTACAAGCAACTATGCTTACCGCAAAATCTGGTGTCGATTGAGGATCCAACGACTGGTGGATCAGCATCTGATGACACAGCCTTTGACAAATCTCCCAAACTCTGCTCATGAACATCGGAAACACTGGCATCTGGAAAGTAAACAGTCAAAGGAAATTTAGCTCCACAAGTTGAGTTAGGTGCAGCCGCTTCGAAGTGAGTCTTCATGGCGGTTCTGAAATAGCTTATGGCGGTGCAATCGAAGAACAAGGCAACTCTTTCTGCTTAATGAGCTAATTCTTAGATCTATCGATGCACATCCAATTACGAACACACCCATGGAAAATTTCTTTCGTACACGTCAAATAACCGGGAATCTTGCCATGCTCACAAAGGACGAAAATCTGATCATTCTTGGTATGGTCCCCCTTCGGATTGATGATCCTTGAATTCGATGTGGATATTGCAACAGAGACAAACTCTTAGGTGCGATCCAATTTAACGGGACGAACATACAACGTGAGCATGAGACACGAACTCTGATAGAATATACGCAGCATATCCAAAACTTAAATGCACTTGGCTCCAAGCATGGGTGATCCAAGACGGATTGGATGTCCTAGAAGGAAAAACTCTTTGGAGGTTGCAAGGCATCACAAGATAACATCGGTAGCCTGTCAGCTGGGTACAACGCCTCACCTGTTCAAGCGAAAGTCCGGACTGCATGAAATCTTACTGGCTATATGACCAACAGTCTCGCGCGCTCCTGTGGTGCTGCTTTCAAAATAGTCATGACTCCATTCACCTGAACAAATTTGAACAAGGCTCCAACGAATTGCTTGGCATCTGTGACAACCTCAAATGACAATGTTTCACTGCTTGGCTTCCAACAAGACAAAACTTAGTCAATCAGGTTCCCAACCATGACTGCGTTCGGCAGATCTCAACTTTGGCAGGACTTCATACCTGTGTTCAAATCGGAAATGGCTGGATACTCAAATTGTTCACTTGAGCTTGAAGGAACGAAAAATGCTGCAATCTTTAATGACCGGTTTGATGAACGATGATGCTGACTGAAGGACCTGGTTGCACGGCACGCTAGGCATGTATCCCTGGCGGCAACGTTCTTTCAAGTCAGAATTTTTACTTATCGATCTTGCGTCGGTTGGATGGATGTTTACTCAAATCGTCAACAGATTCATTCAGAATGCCTTCCTCTGCAAGTGCAGCTGGGGACACCATGGATGAACCTGAAGACAAAACTTCTGGATTGGGCTCATTTAAGTACGAAGCACTGGCATCTGGCAAGGCTGGTTCTGAGGGCCATGCTTCATTCCAAACTACGTTTGGTACGGACGGTGGTTCGATAGGCTAAAAACTGGCTTCGGCTTCGGACAAAGCTGCGTCAACTTCACAAAGCAAATCTGCATGCAGCATACAACGAACGCTTGGTGGATGACATCAATTAAACCTGTCAACATTTTCTTCTGCACTCTCGTGGTGCTGGATCAAAGGTTCCTTCTGCCATGTGCAGACCTTTAATCTACAATTGCTTCATGACAGCTAGACTTGGGAATTCACTACCCAAAAAAAATCCACCCCTTCTGGAGAAGTCTGCCCAACCTAAACACGATGTCCAGAACATCTGCAACGACTGCAACGAATGCATCGTTCAAACAAGATTGAACCTGATTCTTATGAGTTTTAAGATCCTCCATCTCGAAAATGCTGGCCAACATATGATAGAACTGGGCACGATCGCTTCTCCCGATGCGGATGACAACCATCTGGGGCCTTTGCATTTGCAAAGCCTTCACCCTCAAGACTAGTTCCCTCTTTGCTACCGCGGAATCACAACAGAGGCGAACACTCCTGCATCAATGAGCCACCAACTACAATGTTCAGAATTACAGAAACTGTAATCAACATGCGCGCAAAAAATGGCATTAGCCTAACATACTGCAACCACAAAATGCTTGCCTTAAAACAGGACTGCATCAACCATGTGGATATGCACGTATTCTCACGTCCGTCAATGGCTAAAGTATGTAAACCAAAAACTTAGCTTGGTAATTCCCCTGAGCTGAAGCATTAACAACACACCAACTTGAGAACAAAACAGTCCTCAAATGCCACTTTGGCAGGCTGATAGCGATACACGATGTGCTTGTCAAGATCACGCTCGAACTGGGACATGGACTTTAAACACGAGGAAGAGAAGGAAGACGGGCCATTTGCAACAAAAGGACTCAACGGCTGTTGACTATCCAAAGGTGCTGCGGCGCGAGCCGCTTCTGACATCGGCTGCCGCACAACAGGAGAAGCCTCCTCATCGGGCTGTTCCCCGATCAGTTCATGGATCTTTCCACCTTTGCCCTTTCCTTTCTTTCCTTTGTCCTTCCCTTTGCCACTGCCCGGACCGCCCTTCACATTGGGCTTGCTGGTGCTCTTCGGAGGTGAATCAGACGTCAAAGCTCGACCGTTCTGATCAGTCTTGGCGTGACAATCGGTCTTGAAATGACCCTTTCTGCCGCATCGAAAACATGTTGCGTTCTTCTCCTTGTCCGACCTTTCTTTGTTGCTATCACCACTGTCCTTCTGGAATGGCGACGATGTGTGATCACTGCCACGCTGCTTACCATCTTTTCCTCCCTTCACATCTTTTCCTTTTCCACCTTTCGGCTTGCCTCCTTTGGGGTTCCTATCAAAGACTTCATGGAGATACTTCGAGTGAGTGTTACCTCCAATCTCTGCCCACAACCGTTGTCCAGCCTCGTGTTTCTGTGCAGCAATCTTGAGATCGTTGTACGAATCAGAACTTGCATGCATCGTGACATATTCACGGACCTGAACTGGCAGCGAACGAAGAAGAAGCATGGACAAATCACTGGCTTGTAGGCCAAGTCCTTCTTGCGACATGTTCGGAGGCAGCATATTCAAAAGCTTCTGATATCGAGACTCCTCGAACTCCAAATGTTTCACTAGTTCCATCACACTGCCAGACTTCACAGTCTGTTGCAACAAACTGGATCTGAAATGAAGAATTTCCTGGCGGCTGCGAATCATGTATTCCTTGGCTACTAGGCGAAGTGCCTCGAACCCATTCTTCGAATGAGGCTGAATGGCCTCTGAGTACGCGAGCAAAATGATCTTGGCTTTCGGGACATCTTTGAAAATTTGCCTGAGCATCGAAAGCAAACGAGAACCTCTAGACTCCTGCTCCGAAGATAAATCTGCTTGCACAATTGGTGCTGGCGCCGAAACTGCATACCTAATTTCGGTAGCAAAAGGCTCAGATACGAGTCCAATCCATGCAACGAAGGACTCTACCCAACTCTCGAAGCCAAGGATCTCGTCGGTCCTGCTCTTCCATGCTCTGGCGTCGAGCACAGGCAAAGAAGGGAGCCACTTATCACTCTTCTGAAGGGCGTCAGGCGTCGTGCTCGAACTGGATTCCTTCTTAGTCGTCTGGACTGGCACGCTCTGGCTCATTCCAAAAACAAACTCGGTACCGTCGGGCCAAACAAGCTTCGGTGCCCTGCCTGTGGGGTTCGAAGTTGCGGGAACTGAATCACCTGAAGTCAACGGGATCTCAACAGGTTCGGGAGCGCTTGCCTGAAATGGACTAGATCTGGCATTGATCGGGAGGACAGGTTTTGTGGCTTCTTCTGAAACTACAGGCCTCGGAGAAGGTGGAACTCGAACTGACTGTGCCGTCAGTGCATCAATCTGAACCTGATGATGTTTAAAGACCTGTTCGGTCTGCTGAAAGGCAGCTTGTGTCTGCTGAAACGTGCTTTGCTGCTGTTGTACAACTGTAGTGAGGTCACGAATCTTCTGATTCAAAACTTCCATCTGTTCTGCCATGCTCAACATCCGACTCTCCAAACGAACCGATGCAGCCTCTGGCATATCTGAAGGTGCTGCCGGCCTATCCGGCATCGAGCTTCCACGCTTCCTCGGTCTGGGCGATCGATCACGTCCATCCGCCATGGCTCGCACAACTACACGAGTGGTGAGATGTATCCCCCAAAATGCTAATCTGTCTAAAATGACCTGGACTCCTACGAGCGCCACGCGCTCCGCTACCATGCGGAGATTACAACCTCTAGTCATAGGTGACCTCAAGGTAGTGCAATCTAACATAGAACAGTAGGAGAACATCATGTAACACCACATCGTAAACGTGTAGGAGAAATCTATAATTCTGTATATATTCATATTCAATGTAAATCTCTGATTTATATTGAATCTTGGATCATTTTCTCCTCTTTCACACGAGCCATTCTTGAGCCAAATTTTGGCATGCATCGTAAGGATGTAATCCACCTCGCACTCGCAATCGTCGAACGAACTGTCGATGTACTTTTGGTGGTTACCTAACCGAACAATGCACAGTGGATTCAACCACAATAGTCGTGCTATACGACTGAGCTCAAAATGGATTGAACCACGAATGGAATGAGTGGTTCTTCTCAAGTTTCTGAACTATTCGAAAACCTTTCAAACACAAAATTGCATCTGTAGAGCGGTGAGCTCTCAACGAACTGCTCCAAACGGGTTCTCTCAGGTCCCTCACTTTTGAACAACCTTCGAATCGAGAACGAAGTGAGCGATTCGATATATCATGCATTGAACGAACGGTCACAATGCAATCAAACAAAATTTGGTGCACTTGCACACGAATGCACGAAAGTCAAAATTCTGCAATGCATCTAAACAAAGTTTACATGCACAAAACTGCAAACTGAAGTGCACACGCGCAAAACCTCGAATCAAAGTGCTCACGCACTCACAAGCATCAAACCTATAGTGCACACGCACAAATGAAGATTGAGCTGCTGCATACGTACACTGCACGTGAAGGACAGGCACAAATGACTAAACTCACATTCTTATTAATTGAACTCCTGTGGACTCAAGGGTTGAGGACACAGGACAAAAGGTGCTCATGCACAAAGGTGACTTGCAAGTTAAGCTAAGGCTTAGGCTCAAAAGCAAAAGCTGACGAAGGAAATTCAGGAGGACCTAAAGAGCACTGGGTATGGACAAGAACTGGTTTCAAATACCCGCATAAACCCTAAACCCTAAACCCTAAACCTAAAGTGTTCCAACAAAGCCTTGCATGATGGCCGTGACAGCCGCGTCTGCTCTGAGCTCGGTGGCGCGGCCAAGCCATGTCGTCAGTTCTGGGGCCCTTGTCTGGAGCCCACGAAGACAGACAGTACATCCCTGCCATGAATTTGATGTGGGATGAAGTGGACAAGTGCTTCGACCCACACTACATCCTTGGAGAAGCTGGGCACCGCTTCTGCCAAACATACGCTGTTAGGGCAGCCCATGCAGAATTTCCTTACGCCCTCCACTGCTTGTCGCTGATGTGTGCTCTTGTGAACGGTGCCAAAGTGGCTGTCTTTGCTACCTCGCCATCGCCTTTGACGTTGGTTGCAATTAATGTCAACTACGCCCAGACGAGAAAATCATCCTTGGGCAGGAGTTGGACGCAGTCATCTTGACGAACGCGGAGTCCAAGCTGGCGACATATTGTGTGGAAGAAGGCGCTCCTGCGCCAGTGCAGCACAGGTGTGAGCGGGCTGTTGAAACAGGGGGCTGGGAAGTTTTAGGTGTTGAATTCTAACCAAAAACGAGCCCGCCTTTTGTGCCAGGTTGAAGCCGAAGCTATTCTCCGCAATGGTTGCCAGCGCAACACCTGAGGAGTGGTTCCATCGATGCTCGGGCGATTGGAACCAGGTCCGAAATGCTGACAAGTTGCCCGGAGACTGGTCTGGCCGATGCTGGTTTGGCTTGCTGGGGAATTTTGACGAGGCCTACGACTTCCTGCTCAGCTTGGGTCTCTTGTCCGATGGGCCTGCATCCAAGGAGAAAGCCAAGGCAAGGGTGAACCCGTACCAGAGTGCCTTCAACAAGCTCTTGCAGTTTGGAACCAGCGCTCGCGCCACGAAAACGAATGGGAGCTATGGAGAGAAGCTTGCTAGAACCGTTAGCATGGGGATCACTTGCAATATGCACCCTGCGCAATACATCCCTATGGAAAGAGGTGAGGTTGGTTGCCACGCAGCTTCCACCAAAGAACGGTTTGTCATCTCCACTGGCCGCCCTGTGCAGCCGCATGAAGACATGCCGGCAGATTTCTGTTGCCCTCCAGGACAGGTGTTCTGCGCGATGGGTGTTGTGTTAAAGCGTTTTAGATTCTGTAAAATCTGCTCACATTCTTTGCTGGATTTTCTTTGCGCAGGAGTTTCCCGGCACCGATGGGTTCCTCTCACAACCGAAATTGCGGAACTGCTGGGCATAGCCAAAGAGGCTGCTTCGCCAGATGCTGCTGCTCAGGAGTGGAAAGACGTTGGCCTTGAAGATGAAAAAGCAGTGCAGCTCACCCAGAATGCAGCGGGCGACTATGTCCCATCAGAAGATGGGTACCCTGTGAGGCTCTTGGATGGCAAGATGAGCCGCCTACGGTTCAAACGTTCTCCTGCGTCGACGTCTGGGTTTGAAGCTCAGTGGCGCGTTGCCAACAGAAGCTTTGCCATTCCAGCAGAGTGCTCCCTGACGGCCGCTGTCTCCCGAGTCACTGCCTACTTCGACCAACCTCACCAAGTCATTGCCCTCACTCCGGAGGCGGAGTCTTGGCACATGTCCTACCAAGGTGGAATGAATGTGCAAGCCCATCTGTCTCGCGAATCAGGGGATGTTCAGGGTGGCGCTCGCTTTGGAGCCGCTCCGTGGCAAGTGGGAGTTTTGGCGGCTTTGCTCCTGGTGTTTGAAATCTTTGTGGGTGCGCACAGTGTTGAAGCTCTTGGACGGAGGGATTTGCAGGTCACTCCAGATCATTGCCAAAGGGCCTATGCTCTGCTCCAATTGGTTTCTTGGCACTTTGTTTCTTGTTTGTTTATTTTCAAAAACCCAAGATCTGTGGTTGGCGCTATATTCGCGAATTCAGGTCCAGAAGCTGAAGCATATTGCTTTGGGAGATGCAGCCGCTAGCCCAGACCATTTTCCCCAGCAGCCAAGTCCGCAACCTGCTTTCGATTTGGCAACTTTGCGTGTTCCTTATCAGACGGAAGATTTTGCTTCGACCCAGCATGGTCCCGGACTTCGGCTTCCCCAAGCTGGCGAGGAAGAAGAATTTGAACTTGAACCTGAAGAAGAAGATGCGGAACCTGGGCCCAACTCGCTTGAAAGGCCCCCAGACAGCGTGGCCGAAGTCGTGGAGGACCTACCGCCCCAAGATCCACCCGCAGGCGAAAAGCCGCTGGTTCTTGATGAAGTGCGGGCAAGTGATTTTGGTTTTGGCGAGAATGGCGTCACAGTCCAGCCTGACGGTCTCTTCAGCCGTCACTGGACAGACCGGGCAATCCTGAAGCACACCTTGCTGACCGGCAAGCCAAAGATGACTCGCAAAGAAGCGTGTGACAAAATGCGCACCAGCAGGGAACAGGGCCGCCGCAAAGCGCTTCCGAAAGAGAAATGGACAGCGGTCATGGCGGCAGCCGCAGAGCAGCATTCCAGCATCCTTCAGCTCCAGGGTGAGACTTTGTGTTTGAAAGTGATCCCAGACACAGCGCAGGGCAAGGTGAAGTACCACAATGAATTGATGAGGGCTTGTGGGCTGACTTTGCGGGAGCTGGTGGCCGCCATGGAGAAAGCATCCAGCAACCAGGAAAGGAAGCGCCAGGAAGATCGGCGCAAACGGCCCAGAGATGAGGAGTGAGCCGTTGTGGAGATATACAACAGTCGCTAAGGAAGTGTGAAAAGAGCTCATCCGCAGGTGTTTGGTTGTTCAGGCGCAGGCAGCCGAGTGGGTCCTGCAGAACCTGCGTGAAACCAATCCACCCGTAGGTATTCCACCCGCCGAGCCCTTCCCAGAATTTGGTCATGACAATCTAGATCCGAACGTGTCTCCCTTAATTGCAGACCTGTCAGCCACAACAGCAGCGTAGGCAGACCTTGCGCCTACACTGTGGTGCAAGACTAGCAGGAGCGGTGGCCAGGGATGGGGGCGTTGAAGTTTGGAAAAAGCAGGGTGTACGGTGTACATCAGAGATTCTGGTGGGCATTCCAAAGCATGATCACTTCAGTTCAATGAGGGTGACTTCTGTTACTGATTTTCGGCTTCAAGCCCCAGGTATAGGTGAGGCGCTTCCGTTCCGCCGCATCACCCTTGCAGGGCAGGCCCAACGAGGTTGATTGTCAGACGCTGCCTAACGTTGCTGTCTGAAGAACAAAAAAATCTTTCCATGTCCAGTTTATAGACCACCGGAACCGCAGACCGGACCACTGGACGAGCGCATCCATGAGAGGAGGGGACCAGCGGACCCGCGGACCGGCGAACCGGCGGACCGGCGGACCGGCGGACCAGCGGACCAGCGGACCAGCGGACCCGCGGACCGGCGAACCGGCGGACCAGCGGACCGGCGGACCAGCGGACCGGCGGACCGGCGGACCGGCGGACCAGCGGACCGGCGGACGCAGACCAGCGGACCGGCGGACCAGCGGACCAGACAACCGCACGATCATAAGTCATTGAAACTGCAATGACTTGACCGTCCATATGGAGAACACGCACAGCATCCGCTTGCTCATCTCTCGGCTCACCCGCGAGAGGGTGGAGTCAGCCGGATGCACTTCCGGGGGGAATCGCTGGCGGTACCTCCACCAAAAGCTGACCTTGGTGTCCCTCAGCTCGGTCTCTCCAAGCATGGAATCAAGGTCATTGGAGGCCACCTTGGAGCGATCCTGCTCCATCTGCCTGAAATAGAGGGTGATGGCGTGCCATGCCCGCCGCAAGCGGGAAACCTGGAGCATCTTGCCATCCCCAAGCGACAGCTTTGAGAGCCATGGCTCAACCGCGCCCTCACTGTCAAAGAAAAATCGAAACTCCTCAAAATTAGAGATACCTGTCTTAATCAAAGCTTCCACTACAACGGGGTCAAGGCTGAAGTTCGTGCCTAGCGCCTTCAGAGAGTCTTCAATCCTCGATGACTCCCTCGGCACTAAGCTCAGAGAACTTGCCATGCTGTCTCGGGGATCCCTTCCCACGCGCCTAAGCCAAAGCTGCCCGCTCGGAGGAGTCCCTCTCCTCCTGCACAATGACTACGGCCGTGACGAGCCCGGAGACGGGGGGGAAGGAAGAACGAGGGACAGACCGAACGACGTCCTCTCGGACATGCTTCTGCGGCTCGGTCAACTCTCCCTGCACCTGGGCCCTACCCGCCTAGGCGCAACTCCCCCCTCACAAATAGCCCCTTTCAGGAGACTGCACTCTGTTTTCACGCTGTCTTGGTCAAGCTCGCCACGGGCAACGGATCACTCCATCGCCAAAAGGGGGCTAGCTGCTCTTATGTATCGCTGTGCGACAAGATGAAAACAGGTGCCACAGCCTCCTCAAGGGATCCAGGAGGCTGGTGCTCTATTGGCACAAACTTGGCATGTTGGCCTGCCCCAGGCAATCGCCTCCATCTTCGAGGTACACTTAGACGGCTGTGCCAAACGCCCTTTGCTCTTCTGGCCACTCTGGCGATGTGAGCAAAGGGGGGTGTCCTCATAGCCCTGGATGTGCAGCTGACTGCGGGCGGTCGCGATGTATCCGGTTGGCCGGGGCCAGGCATTGCCCAGACTAGATGTGCGAAGGGTCTCATGGATCCAACCAGCCAAGGCCCTGTCTCTCAGCAAGCCTTGGATGTCGACATCCCTCACACTTGCCAAGTAGTCCCAAGCTGCTTCGAAGCGCTCCCGGAGCAAAATGGCTCGGACCATACACGCGGTACCCGCCGCGCGATGCCGGCCACTAATGCAGTGGAGGAGCACATCCTCACCTCCCCACAATGTATTGCACAAGAGCGGAAACAGGTCGCGCCACTGCTCGTCTCGCCTATCAGGGTGGGCGATAGCAAACTTGCGCAGGGTCGCTCCCTGCAAGCAAATGCCACCCCGCTGCGAAGGCTCCTCAAGCATGCATGCCACTTGAAGAGTGACGGCTGGAAAGGCTGATGCTGACCTGTTCGTAG